ATCCGGGTCTTTTATCAACGAAATATTTTTGAAGCGATGTTTTATTTGGGATTATTTCGAGAAAACCTCAGATATATATATTTCATGGTAATGCTTTGGGATCATTTCGCACGTTTCTATCCTCCTCAGTCCACAGGATGCTTCGCGAGGTTTGACTACAGCAGTGGGTGCAGTTACGGAAAGTAAAGGCCCATTGGAGCAGCATGGTCGAAGACAGAAAGACAGTAAGAAGATTTTGAGAAGCAGCAAAGAGACTTCTGAGCCGATAAGAAGATGATGACTGCTGCCACTGATGGGAAGGAAGATATCATGATGTGGAGAGGGAGAGGGAGAGAGAGAGAGAGAGCCAAGATGTTGTTAGAAACCCTCGACAATGTCTGGCAATAAGGACAACTTCCTCTGAATCTGAACTGGAGGGCTCATTGTGTAAGTTCCTCGTTTTTGGAGTTGGCCCATTGTGTGAACAGAGCACTGTAATGATCCTGCAAGCCAAGAAGAACTTGCTCATGTGGTATTGGCGGAAAATAAGCTGAGGGTTGTGGGGTGTCGTCTTGATTGTTCAATTTTTTTTTCGCTTGCAGTGGAGGTGTGGAAGGCACCAATGCTGCTCTTTCTTTGATTTCTGGATTATTTGGCTGCTTTGGAAGCAACGAAGTCGCTGCCAGAGCAGGTTGAATCGCGCGTGAGGATTCGTGTCGAAAGTCTTCAAGGAAGGTTTTCCATTCGTGTTTTTCAGTTTTGTTATAGTTTGCCAATTTTCGTTTCTGTGTCTTGCCTCATGCATGTGCTTTCCCCGTTGATCGTTACAGCGTCTATTCCCACTATGCAAAGGTGGGCCCAGCGACAGCGGCGGTGAGGACTCTGAAGACGGAGTTTGGGTTGTGATGGGGGGGGGAAGTTGTCTGCGCAAATGAGGATGAAATTTAATAAACTGGCTGCGCGCATTAGCCCAGAATTACCGAGCGTCCAGGTGCGACTGCCCGATAGCTAGCTAGTGACGATTGGGTGGTTTACGGGAGCTTCTGCCCTGTCAAACGCCGTTTATTCAATAATCAAGTACGGGCAGTGACGTCGGGTGGGCATCCGGGTCGGGCAACCCAAAAACGACGGTTTGACATTTGGGCGGGTTTGATGGGTTCATTTTGAACCGGTTTGCTGAACCCATTTTGCCCCACAAGCCAGCGAAAAAAACAACGGCACCATCGGGGAACACGAAGAAGACAACGAAGAGCAAGAAGAACAAAGACGCGGACTGAAACGACGGCGACGACAACGATCAACTGCGAACTCCCCTGATGTTCACCGCCGTCCCAGCAATCGGCCGGCCCGCTCTCTCGCCGCCGCCGACGATGCCGCCGCCGCACCACCAGCGCCAGCGCCAGTGCTTGGTGCCCCTGCTGGTCGACGCCAGGCTGATCGCGGACGCCTTGCGGGACTGCGCCGCCGCCGCCCGCCGTGAAGCTATCGCCAGCGGCGCGGCCGCGCTCACCCCGCCTTTCGCCGCAGCAGTGCCACTCCTTGCCCGGCCCTCGGCCGCCGCCTTCCTCGCCGACGCCCTGGCTGAAGACGCCCGCCTCCTCCGGGATCCGCCTCCCTTCCACTTGTGCGTGGATCCGATCGACTCCGACATCCGGTCCTCCACCATCCGTGCCCTGCGCTTGCGAGCGTCATCGTCGACCTCTCTCTTGAGCGATACCCCGTCGCTCCACGACTCGCACACAGCGGTCGCCCAAGCTTGCGAGGTCGCCCTCGCCCAGCTTCTGGCCTTTAATCCAAACCGGAACCAGCTGCACGGCGTCCACGGCCTCGCCTCGCTGACGCAGCCTCCGCCGACCTTCCGCCGCGCAGGCGCAGGGCGCCCGCCGCCCGCTCCAACAAACCCGAGCCGATCCGCCGTTCCACAAGAAGTGCTCCATCGCATCGGTGGGTACATCCTCCAGCCCAAGAAGCCCCACCACTTCGCAACCCTGTACGCCGCCGCCCTCGTCTCCCGCGCGTGGTCGTCTGCCTTTGTGCCGCTCCTCTGGCACAACCTCCGGCCCCTAGACAACAACAACACCCAAATCCGCTTTGCCCTCGCAGCCGCCTGTGGAGGCCGCCACCCCCGCTCGCACCTTGGGCTCCTCGCGACCGGCCGTATCGAGCTGTCGTGGACCAGCGGCGGCGTCAACACATGGCTGCTCGCGCGCATCGCCGAAGCATGCCCGCTGGCGTCGGAGCTGCTCGTCCACAGGGGCTTCAGTTACCACGGGCCGGACCGCGTTGGACCGAGCGACCGCGCCGCGCTGCGGCGCATCGTCGCCGGTATGGAGAACCTGCAGGCTTTCGAGCTGGTGCAGACGAGCCGCCACCTTTTGGATGGGGAGGAGGAAGTCGAGGCCGAGCTCGACGCTTTGGTACCGGCGGACATCCCGTCCCCTGCTGCGGCTCGCGTGCTTCGGGGCCTGCGCTCCCTCCGGCTCAACGGCGTTCCCTGGTTCTGGACGCCGCTGCTTCTGAGCCTCGAACGAACGGATGCCGACCTCGCCAACGCCCTCGAAAGCGGACGCCTCTCAGAGGCTGGAGCGGACGCTCGCGACCTCTCGTCCTCCTCCTCGTCGCCTCAGCCGTGGTCCAACCTGACTTCCCTCCAGATAGGGCACTACCAGCTCTCGCGCCACGGCCAGCTGCAGCGCCTAGCCCCGTTCTTGGCGGCCGTCCGCAAGCTCACCATCATGGTTTTCAACACCGAATCCGACCTACGTTCGATCCTCGACGCCTGCCGCGGCACCCTCGAGGACCTCGAGATGCGACCCAGCACCTCGTCCACATTTGAGCCCGTCGGATTCAGAACCAGCTGGTTCACCGAGGAGGTACCGCGCCTGGCCGCCCTCCGGCGCCTGCACCTCGTTTCGACCGTCGAATGGACCGACTCCGTCGCCGTCCTCGCGGCACTCACGACCCCGCTGGAGCACATCTTTCTCAAACTTACAGTCTCCCGCCCAGCCGTCGCCGTGGAAGATGGCATCGACGACGCGTGGACCTGCGACCGCGTCGACGAGCTCGTGGCGGCCGTCCGGCCCCACGCCCCGCGCCTCGCCCACCTCGAGCTGTACCTGTCGTGGGGCGGCGGGTCGATCGTTCCTCCGCCTTGCAGGCGACAACAATGGCGGCGACCCGTTCCGCCCCCGCCCGCTCTTCCCGCCGCGGCGCCACGCAGACCTCACGGACGTCACCACCCACCCGGCGCTCGCCCTCGCCCTCGCCGCGTGCCCGCGTCTCGAGCTCGTCCTGCTGTTTGGTGGCGGCGACCTGCGCGCCGCCACCGCCGCCGGCCGACACCCCGACCCGCTGCTGCGCGAGGAGGCCGCCGAGGCGCTGCTGACGCGGTGCCCGCGGCTGCGCGTCAACGGGTGGGTCGAGGCCGTGTGCGAGGGCACGCGGGCGTTCGGCGACCCGGCTGTGCGGAGGCGGCGGGCAGTGCAGGAGGAAGAGGAGCAAGACGTGGAGAGGGAGCGGGAGAGGGCGAGGTATCACCCGAGGCTTGGGGCGGATGGGTGGTGAGTTAGTTTGGTTGCGTGTGAGTATGGTTACATACCCATGCATAATTTGACTTGCAATTTACGCTGGCAGATGGTAAGGTGGCAGGCGGGACCTAGCGCTTGCGAGCTGGGATGCATGATTGATTGATTGATGCACGAGCTTGCACTGTCGCTTGGCAGTGGGTTGTGGGGTGGGTTGGTTCTCTGCCCATGCGTTGCGTCGCGTGTCCCAAATCACTAAATTCTAACTCTACTCATTTACCCCCCACCCCTTTTTCAAGATTGCACTGCAAAACGAAATCGACATCCCGAAGTGCTTGCAGTTTGTCACCGACTCGCGAAAGAAGGACTGACGGTCCCTGTCGTGTTCATGGGCTACTGCAACCCGTTTTTGATCTACGGAGAGCGCAAGCTGATGCAAGACTGCGTGCAGGCCGGCGTGTCTGGGTCGTCGACCCGCCCCCCGAGGAGGTGGAGGCCGAGTTTGAGTGCGTTTTTGGCCCTGTGCCTTCTTTTTTTCCCCTGTGTTTGGTGGTTGTCCCTTGGCATACTCTAACCATATTTATTGTTTTTCTTTCCTTTTGTCAATCATTAGATCGGTGATTTTCGCCCGACAACACATCTTTTGACTCTCTCCCACCCTAACCTCTGATTGCGGCATCGACCACAAGGAACGCCCATGAAGCAGCACCTGCCTGCGGCGCCGACTCGTTCATTTACGTCGTCAGCACGCTCGGAGTCACGGGCGCGTGACTCTCTGCTGTTTTTTACTTTCTGTTGTTTCCTCAGTTTGCTCAACTTGTGGGGCTCCCCCTTTTCTGGAAGGAGTGGATGAAAGGATTGCGCACCGAGAGCCAGTCTCTTACCTAGCCGGGTGAGGAGCTCAAAAAAAAGAAAGAAAAAAGGAGAGTTCGGTTGGGAGGTGATGCTATTGCCCTCGCTTCTCCCACTGCTCATGGTTTTGACAAGCGGTGGTTACCATGTCTGTGAGGCGGAGCGGTAGGGGGTGTATTATGGAAAGAAGCTGGCCTCACAGCGAGGCCCCTCAAAGAGGTTTAAACAAAACCAAAAAAACAAAAAAAAAGACAAAATCCGCTGGCGCCATCCAACACCGCAGGGAGCGTAAGCCAGCGAGCAACACAGTCCCGAAGATGGTGGTGCTCTGTTACGGGAAACCACAGGTCTTTATGCCGGCGCAAGTTGGTGGAAACGTTAGTAGAAAAAAACTGATGTTGAACACCGCCGGCCTTACCATTAAGCGTTACCTGTCCCGAAACGGACAGAACTAATGAAGGCGGCAATTTACATGTACGTCCTAAGCTGGCGGCATCTATATAAAACGGAGAACTCTGACTCCTTCGTTGCGAGAATGCTGCTTCAGCGTCAGTCGTCGCATAGACGAGCGGCATGGATATCTTCACTTTCCCCAGGGTTTGATGATAACACGCCGCAAAATGTGAACCGATTTTCACTGCGATTCGCCCCTACGACGATTTGAACGCCGATCTTCACCGTTCTTTGTGATGTCCTAGCCATTAGACGACAGGAGCGACGAGGTAATTAAAACAAAATAGTTAAAAAAAGCAATTGAGTAGGAAACTGTGCCGCCGAATTTGGCAAACTCTGGTGAATCACTTTTCAGCCGAAACCAGACCACTCGAACCGGTATCGGAAAAGCTCAGAGCGGCCTCCAACGATCTTCATAAGACCAAGCATCGCCAACTACTCGAAGCTTTGCTCTTTCAGTCTTCATGCAAGGCTTTATAAGCGATGATATTGCTGGTAATGGGGAAAAAAAAACCGATTCAAGATCGAAAAAGAAAAGTGATGGACAGAGAAAGTGCGCAACTGCCAGGGAAAAAGCAACTGCCAGAAGGAAGAAAGAGCGGGCAAGCCGTCTAAATGTCGCACGTCCAGCTCGCGTTCCTCGCCGTCGGCTGCCCAACATCGCGGTACTTCGGCGCACCGGTGCCCAGACAGTCCGCCACAGTCACCATCGACAAACCCTTGCTCTGGGCCCAGCTGACGATAAACGGCACCATGTCCGACACGGTCTTCGTGACCGTGCTGTGCTGCAAGAAAATATGCGGCACGGACAGGTCCGCCCCGTTGTACGTCGCCTTTTCGTTCGCCACGTCGGCCGACGTGCTCTGGTCGCGCCCGTTCGACGTCTCCTGCGGCGTCACGTCCCACAGCACCAAATGCGTGTACCCCAGCGCGGCGACGAGGTCCGCGGACGAGCGGTTGTACGAGCCGAACGGCGGGCGGAAGAAGTTTGGGCGCGCGCCCGTGATCCGCTTGACGGCGTCCTCGAGCCGCTGCATCTCGCCCCGCAGCTCCGCCGCCGACAGACTAGCAATGTCCGGGTGGCTCCACGTGTGGGCGCCGATCTGGTGGCCGTCGGTGTACGCGGCGAGGAGGTCGGCCGCGTGGTCGTAGATGCAGTCGGCGTTGTCGCCGTTCACAAAGAAGGTCGTGCGACCGCCCGCGGCTTTGAAGGCGTTCGCGATCGTCGCCATCGACGTGTACGGACCGTCGTCGAACGTGACGGCGACCGTCCCGGGCACCTTGCACCCGTAGACGACGTTGATGTTGGGGTCCTGTGGGAATCCGTCGCAGTCCCCGTATTGATTGTTGCAGCCGGTGCTGACGGTGCAGCTGGTCGGGTCGCTGCCGCACCAGCCGTATTTGCTGCAGCAGAGACCCTTATGGAGGTGGGAGTCAAAGAACCCGTTGGAGGGTCAAAATGTTAAAATACTAGTGAGTTTGGTGAATGAACGAATGAACGCTCACAAGAGGACAAAGACCAAACGTGTCCCCACACTGTCCGGACGTCGAGACAAAAGTCGGCCCGGAGCCTGCCGACGACGTCGTGGATGTCGGCGGGGCAGAGCTGGTGGTTCGTGACGGGCTTGAAGAGCTGGCCGAGGATTCGGACGAAGCGGAAGCACTCGACGACAGGGATGCGCTTGTCGGACTCGGCGAGCTGACGGACGACGCGCCGCTTGTCGCGCTCGCGCACACACCATACGCAGCCTGGCAGCCCGTCCCGCAGTATGCATCGGTCGTCCCGCACCACCCGTAAATGGAGCAGCAAAATCCGGGGTAGCAGCTCCCGTACCCGGCGCCACAGTGGCCGCTGTTGTCGTACGTCGTCGCCGGTGCCGGCGCGGGGGCCGGCGCCGGGTCTCGGGGGTGGAGCAACGCGTGGTTCGGTGTGTCGTCGGGAGGTGGTAGCGCGTGAGGGTTGGGGTTTGCGGCGGCGGCTGAGCTGACGCGTTGCGGGAGGAGGATGGTGGCGGTGGCGGCAATGAGACCGACGGTCGCAATGGCTCTGTGGTGCAGCGCGGCAACTGGTTGTCGCTGAACGGCGTCGCGGTGGAGGGAACGCGTTGTATGGTTGGTGCGGCCAGCCATCATGTGCTTCGGTGCTCAGTTTGTTGCAATGGGAAGCTCTTTTTTTTTTTTTTTTTTTTTTTTTTTTTCTTTCTTTGTTTTGTTGTTCTCCGTTTATGCGACGGGCCGTGGGGGTTTGTTTCTCTGTTCGGTGCAGGGTGGAAGTGCATGCAGCGAGTGCTTTGCTGGGAACGGCCAGGCGCCGTTTTGGGCCGTGTGTGTGGCTGGCTGGCTGGCTTAGGGCGAATCTGTCTTCCTGGCGTGGGGGCGGTCTCGTGTCGTGCTCAGCACGTGCAGCCTCTCCCCCCCCAACAGCCCGCTGCCCGAATTCATCCATAACACTCTTGACCGGTAACCGCGCCCGCGCCTTTCTCATCAAAGGGATTGAGCCCCACCCTTTCCCTATCCCGTCCCACCGCTTCTCCCTCCCCGCCGCACTCATTCACACACACACACACACACACACACACACATACACACACACACACAGGCGCTACGAGTTTCGAAAGCACAGGAATGATCGGAAGTTTCACGCGCAGAAAATAATGGGGTGCATTGCATCTAAATAAAGCCCGAGCAGGACAAAAACATGCTCTGTCTCATTTCGCATCAAGGACGGCCAATTTCTCCATTCATTTCTTGAGCCCGGCAAGTGAAAAATGGCGGGGTAAAATACTTGTTGCTTGTTTTCCATTGGGAGCTTCATTAGATGGGGGGGGGGTTGGGGAAAAGGTGGGGCTTAAGAAACACTGCACAACACACAGACACATAGAAGTGTGATAGAAATGGGAAAGGGGCATTCGAGAATGATCAAAAAAAGGAAGAGTCGCGAGCGACGGAAGCAAAAGGAAAGGAAGGGAGGAAAGGAAAGGAGGGATAAATTGGGGAGGTGGACTTGGAATAGAATCCAGATTGGACCGTCAAAGAAAGAAAGAAAAGAAAGAAAGAAGGGAAAAGTGGTGCCAATGGTAGAAGGGATTATCGAGAGAGTCACAAAAGGAAAAAGGAGGGGGGGAAGGGGAAAGGGGATTAAAGCCATTTTCTATGCCAATTAGAAAGCCGGTGATGGAGGTTCTGCCGTAAAAAGTGATGTGAACAGGGGGGGGAAGGGGGTGGGTCTGGGCGGCAGACACCATGGCAAGAGCGGGTTGTTTTCATTCTGCTATTTCTTTGGTTCTCTAGGAGAAGGGGAAGTGGGGGGTATTTATACATCCAAATCCAAAATTTCGATCACCTCCTAGTGCTCCACCACACCGCGACGAACGCGATCGCGCGGTACGCGATGACGGCGGCGGCGACGGCGGCGAGGGTCGCGGTGGAATGCGGCGGCGTCGTCGGCGGCGGGGAAGCCGAGGGTGGCGAGGACGGCGTCGCCCGAGGGGTAGGTGCACGAGACGGCGGTGGAGTCGCAAGAGAAGCGGAGGTTGGCGAAGGACTGGTGGGCCATGGCGCGGGCGCCGTAGCGCATGATGGAGAGGTAGTTGAGGTAGGTGAGGGGGGCGGGCATTTTGATGCTGCCAGTCATGGTGTGGAAGGATTATGGTTGCAGTCAGTTGCCTGGCTCCAGGGCCGATGCAAAGTATGGTGGGAGGGGGATCGCATACCTCAGGAATCCTTGCATGATGCCCATCAAGCCAATTATGACGCTCATGACCTGCACCGAGACTCCAGGTTGGTCGACCTGGCAAGGAGGGTGATGTGTAAGGTGGTGACTCTCACACACGATGGAAGACCACGATAAAGGCCAACTCCTGCCCCATACTTACAAATGAGCAAAACGCAATCCCAATGCTCTCGCCAGCGTTCATGAACGCAAAGATGCACGCCACGAGGACAGGGAAGTCGATCTGCAAGCCGATGGCATAACGGACGAGCACGCCGCTAAGGAGCGCCGCCGCGATTTCTGTGTTGTGTTGTGTTGGTAGTTATTGTTGTTAAAAAGTTTGTTCTGATAGCCAGCAAAAAGGGGGGGAAGATACGGCAACGGGTGTGGGAATGAAAGCTTCCTTCGAGACGCGCGACTCACCGAACGGCACCTCATTGACCGTGTATGTCCAAAAGAAGTCGGAAACGGTGCATGCGGCGTCGGCGTGCTCGTAGCGGAAGAGCATGAGTTCTCGGCGGAAGACGGCAATGCAGTTCATCATGCCGATGAGGACCGCGGAGCTCAGAAGTTGCTGTGGTGTGCGTGCATGTGTGTGTGCGGTATTTGAGTTTGAGTTTGGTTGGTTAGGGGCCTCGCCCAGCACTGAAATAAAGAATCCACTGCAAAGAAAAAAGTAAAAAAGAAAGGGGCGACCGGCGCTGGAGACATACCGACAAGCCGATGCGCATGGCGACGCTGTCCTGGTCTGTACCGAGGCGGGCGAAGAAGAGCGTTAGGACGATCATGAAGGCTGCGATCTGGATCAAGCGGGTGGCGACGAGGCCCGGCTGGCGCTTGAGGTTCGTGGCGCTGCGGGCGACGAGGACGGGCAGGCGGCTCCCGTGGCGGGTGGGCGGCTGCGGCTGTGGGGCGGTGTCGCTGGTGGTGGGGGCGACTGGTTTTGTGGATGTGACGGAGGAGTGAATCGACACTGTCGGCGCGGCGACAACAGAGGGCGAGGCATTGGCGACGGCGGCAGCAGCGGCGGCCGTGGCGTCAAAAAACGCGGTGGCTACCGAGTCGACGGAGGGCTGGCGCAAACGTGGGTCGACGGGCGTGATGGGGTTGCCGAGCGGGTCGCTGGAGGTGGTGGCCAGTCGGCGTTTCCAGGCGGCGACGAGCGCGTCGACGCGTTTTCTGGAGGCGGCTTCACTGTCAGGGTAACGAGTGTCGACAGCGGCGGCGTCGAGGGCAAAGTCCGCTGGGTTCGTCAGGTGGGGCGGGGCGGGGAGGTCCAGGGCGGCGGCGAGGTGCGGGAGGAGGGCGTCGGCGGGTCCGCAGAAGATGGGGCGGCCAGCGGGGGCGAGAAGCAGGCAGCTGTCGAGTGCTGCGAAGATGTCGGAGCGGGGTTGGTGGATTGTGCAGACGACGGTGCGGCGGGAATCTTGAGCGAGGGCCTTGAGGGCGAGGACAAGGTTGCGGGCGGCAGTCGCATCGAGGCCGGAGGTGGGTTCGTCCAGGAGGAGGACGGCGGGGTCGGAGAGAAGGGCGATACCGACAGACAGTCGG